CTTTTTATAAATACAACCTTTCTGTTACTTCATTTTAGTAAATTATATTAATACTGGTTTATATGAGTAAAATATGCTGAAAAAATAGAACATACATGTACATAGCCCAGGAATTGAAAATTCACAGGTAAGTAACATCCAAAGTTCTCTTAAGAGAAAATGTATTATTTAATTTTTCAAAAAATTAAAAAAAATTAACAGAATGATTGAAATGGAATCTAGATTAAAGTGGGTCAAAAATGACAAAAAATTAAACAGACAGTTTCAGATATTTTGGCGAATTAAAAAATATATTCAATACAAAAAAATTAAAAGAATCGCTTGATGACGTCACAATATTTGACCTCTTGATATGACCTTGACCTTTATTGTGTAAAAAGGATGGAGACTTCTTATAAATACATGTATTAAATACATGTATGTCCACATATACCAGGTCTCTACTGTAATTGGATCAAAAGATACTTTCTATTTAATAACAGACTGTCATATCGCACGTACATGTAGATGGTATAAAAACATTCTAAAATATAGGCTCCCTAATGACCAATATAAAGGATGTCTCTGATTTAAAACAAAAAATGTATGGAAAAACGTATCACGGCTCATTACTTTTCTTACAAATATTATACAATTATGGACTCTTTCGATGGTGAATAACAAACCATATTCATCACCGAAAGAGTCCATAATTGTGTATTATTATATAGTCTATTTATAGTCCCTATATAATCTATACAAACGCAAACGGTTCATAACACTACATATTCACCGGAGGGTCAGTGAGCGTGCAGCAGCATTGTGACGTCACAATCAATACCTCAAACAACGTTGAGCACAATGGTTGCAACGGTCGGAGCTAGCTAGATATTGAGCAGGAAAAATTGTTTCACAAGTCTATGGCAGGATTATTTTCTTAACATTTCGATGTCTTACACACAGCGAAAAGAAAACACCGAAGATATAGGTTGTAATCTGGACATTTGATTATTTTTCTACGACAGAAGTTCGTTAATGAAAATGGAATCGTCAGGCAGCCTTCAATGTCTTATTCATTCAAATTCTGACTATATAATAAAACAATTATGGACTCTTTTGATGGTGAATATGGTTTGTTATTCACCAGAAAAATATCATTATTGACCTCGGCTTCGCCTCGGTCAATATTGATATTTTTCTGGTGAATAACAAACCATATTCACCATCAAAAGAGTCCATAATTGTATATTATTATATAGTCTATAAATAGTCCCTATGTAATCTATACAAACGCAAACAGTTCATAATACTACATATTCACTGGATTTGAGGCCGTATTCACCGGAATGTGAGTGCGCGTGCAGTGGCATTGTGACGTCACAATCAATACCTCAAACAACGTTGAAAACAATGGTTGCAACGGCCGGAGCTAGCTGTGTATCTGAACAAGAAAAATGTTGGGCAAGTCTGTCGCAGAATTATTTTCTAAACATTTCGATGACTTACACACAGCAAAAGGAAAACACGAAGTGTTAAGCTGTAATCTGGACTTTTTTTTTTAATTTTTCGACGACAGATGATGTTCGTTATTGAAAATGGTATCGTCATGCAGACTTCGATGTCTTATTTATTCAAAGCTTGACTATATAATAAAACAATTATGGACTCTTTCGGTGGTGAATATGGTTTGTTATTCACCAGAAAAATATCAATATTGACCAAGGCGAAGTCCATGATTGTTTTATTATTATATACTAGTATAGTCAGGCTTTGAATAAATAAGACATCGAGGTCTGCATAAACAACTTACTGTTTAAAACTAAGTGTTTCAATCACTTTATTTTTCAAATGAAATTTTATGAGAGCATAACTTCCCGATATCTATTTAAATAAATAAAAAAAAATACAAAGTACAGAAAACGGGAATGTTTGTGATTTTGGGATTTGAGTGTCCTCTAATTTTCAAAACAAGAAAGATAAAACTCATTGTATATGCAGTTCTCGATTTTTAATGGAATACAACAAGAAAGGATTTGCCATAAAATTACCCAGAATATTTTAAAATACATTCGACAAAATCCCTGTCAACGAATTTTGAGACACGGGGAATTGTAAGTACATTGATTTCAAGATCCCATTTCCAAGAATCTTCTTTTCTGGAAACATTGTGTATTTCTTGACATTTGAACAAAAAGACCTCAGAGCGTATCTAAAGACATCAGTGGGCACAATATTCTTAAAATGAGTAGCTGTCGGCATGTACATAAGTGGACTTGTTTGGGGAAAAAATTGCATGTCCTTCTCCAGCTGGTTTATAGCATTGCGTGTTTTACTGAACGGTTCCTTATGCTTTTTTTCGTGCGATGTTTCTTTGGTATATGCACTCCGATGAAGACCAACATTTAAAATCGAAAAAGGAAATTCCCTTATGCTTGTAGCTCTGTATTTTTCAGGTTAGCACATCAAATCTTTGCTGCAATCCACCTTGAAATACATATCCAAATTTTGTCTATTTCATCAAGTTGGTTGTATAATTAAAACTGAATTTTTGTAATCATTTTCCCATAGGCCGTCCTTAGTTAATAATTTTACAACAGGAATCCCCTCCGAAATCCACAGTAGGTATCAGAGGAGGGTACAGCCCGGGGAGTAGCGGCACTGCTGTGAGAGGCTGTTGTTGGAACTGGATCTTCTTCGACGGGTAATACGACAGTCTCAGACTTGATGCCCTCGTTACCTGTTTAAATATGGAATATATAAGTATGGAATACCGGTATGTAACGAACATTTTTTCTGGTATTAATACAAAGGAATACCAGTATATATTTGTTAAGTTATTCATACAAAAAGGACTTTGAGGCATCATCGAAAAATTTTGTTTCACCATATACATGTACTATATGAAAAAGGAACATTTTTTCTTTTAAATTACCAGCCCATCTTCGCAAGCCTAGGGTTTTGGATCACTATACTTCCCACAATATGTGGAAGGCTTAGCGGACCGAAAACCCTTGGCTCGCGAAAGTTTTACAAGCAGATTTCCATCTTATTTTCTCGGGATTCACATTCTTCGTACAAAGTTTTTTAATATGATAATTTGAAAATTTGAAGAGAAGTTTTAAATATTTGAGTTAAATCAGAACTTGAAATCTAAATATATTCTGAAGTACCTTGAATTTTCGACGAAATCCATTTGTAGGTCCACTGCGCGGATAAGAATAATAGATGAGCTGTAACGATCATGTTGATCTGAATATCAATCATAAAACAGTTGTTTGGCGACGACAACGGAGCGCAATCGCTCTATTATGACATCATAATAAGACAATAACAATACACTTGACGTAGAACGCAGGTTTGCTGACGTTGTAAAAATTGTCTGTATACGCAATTTATACGATTTGGACGACTTTCTTGTGCACATTTGATTATGACGTCACCATGAGAAAGAAAAATCTGCGATGATTTTATTTTGAAAAATTCTTCAGTACAAATATTTAGAGATACATGTATAACTTTTGGTGGAATTGGTAGTTTAATGTTATAATATTTAAACAGCAAACTTAAGTTATCACAAGTAATGAAAGCTTTTTACGATTCGAATACTCGACGCCGAAAACATAATTTGTTATCATATTGAGATCATAACGCTGTCACGAAACACATTTTTTTTTTTTACCTTTTTTTACATCAAAAGTTTAAAACATATCTAAATCTAGTTAACGTATATTTTTTTTAAATTTTGCCTTAATTCTCTATACAAGCACATTTTCTGTATTTATAGGGTAATTTACACTGCATTCCTCGCCGATTTTTCTTCATTCTTGTGCTAAAATAGCGCTACGCGATTTCTCACATACATAACTCCAAAAATTTGCTCTTAATTTTATGAAGTAAACATTATAATTCTATCTGACTTTATATCAACTACAGGGGCTTGTCTTCCGGATTGATAAAATGTAAAATAAAGTAATAAAATTTTGAATCTACTTTAAATACACTTAAAAAGTGTTACAGTAAAGATTCTGACACTTTCAGACAAGAAATACCATGTTTAAAAAAAATCTTACCTCACCTATAATACATAGTTTATGTATATAGGTTGCCTTTTTAAGGGGAACTAGATTACACTTGCCGGTAGGGGACTAGTATTGCTTAATCAATACTTTCATAATGCTTGTTATTCACGTTAAGACTTGGTATATGCAAACAGCATTTTTTTTTAAATAATCATTGTATTGTCAACTTGATCCCATTTCTTTAAGAACATATTTGTACTTAACATCTAGCCAACAACTTTAAGGATCCCACTGGAAATAAGTCCTTGGCTTTCATCAAGTTATCAATACGCATCATAACCCAATATATTTATGTTTTCTAAATTTCTGAAATATGATTGATTGATTCCGATGCATTTTATCTATGACTTTTTTGGTGCCAAACATTAAATCTATATTTTTACAGTATCATGTTCAGAATATATTGTATCAATTGTCTTTCTTCGGTCGTAATTTGATTTTTTTAAGGCTTCCTTAGGTTTAAAATACATTATAAGGAAATATTTCGTATTTTCTTTTGACATGCAGTTTCATATATAGAGGATATTCATTGTTTTTTAGCAGTTGAATATGGAATTTATTTTATGATTTAGACAGGATTTTTTTTTCAAAATATTTTCACGAGTGCGAAGCAAGAGTGAACAGCTGGTGAAAATATAAAAAAAAATGTTCTTGAAAGCTTACATAGTAAATCATTAACAAATTTTCTTTCTTTTTAAATTAATCTTATTTATTTTTCTAAATGGCAAAGTGATATATTACTTTTTCCAATTAAAAAAACCCAACAACATATACACTGTATTGTTACGAGCAAGTGCGAAAAAGTTGGAAAATGTATACGGATACTGATCTTAGATCGGTTCTGTTGTTAGACAACATTGTCTAGCTCAATGAGGTGCTTTATAGTTTAAGCACATCGTTATTTGTTGACAATTTTCCTACATTGGTCGATTGGAATTTAAGTTTAATTAAAAGAAATGAGAACAGTTGCAGTGCTTGGAGGCGGCATTGCTGGATTGTCCTCAGCCTTCTTTCTTTCACGAATGTCATTGCCGAGTGTGTCTAAGGTAGACCTTAATCACATGGACTGTACTGAACAGCTGTTTACTAATCCGAGATTCCTCGGACTTTTTATTTTATCAGAGTGTGACAACTAGCCCAAATGGTATATAATAGACTTGGGTTATAATATCCCAATGGGATATAGATTCACATTGAAAAATAAATAAGCAAAAAATATATATATAGCGAGAAATAAGTTAGGGATGGGTATCGCCAAAAAGTTCATATCGCAATGTTATGATTTTATTTATATATAACAAATCTTCATAATTTTTCTTATTATGTTGTGAAAGCATAAAATTCGTTTTTTTTAATTCATTTGTATAATTTTTATAAACAAAATGGCATAGAATAGAGTCCATAGATAAGCACTTGTAATTAAAAAAAAAAAAAAAAAGTATCAAGAAAAAACAATATTACCCAATGTTATGGTCACACATATAAACCGGTTAAAGAAATGAATTATGGAATATTTGAATTACATTTTTCATTATTACATTCATAACTGTTTTTGATGGACTTTTGAGCCTGAATACCGTTCATTATCTCCATATATTTCATTAAAAGAAGAAAAGTTGATTTATCATGAGAAATAACAATAAACTAGTCTGTAGTACCAGGGACCTATATTCTAATGGGATAGGCAACTCCTTCAGTGCCATTGTTCATTTACCCAAAATGTCACGCACAACACTACAAGTTTTTCAAACTACATTTATTCCCAGTAAAAAGCCTGTTTTCTGATAAATGTAATCAGTACTTTTTGTGTATTGGAATGTATTTTTGTTAAATTTAAAAGCATACATTATAATTATATAATTTAAATATAAATCAAAGAAACACCAAAAGGAGTATAAACAGTGTCAACAACAAATCTTGAATGATTTTTTGATAGATGAATTATAGTTTTGATCTGAAATATTTGATAGCATTAGAGATATATTTAATTAAAATTGACTTACGAAATTACGCAACTTACAAGGTATTGTGAGACTTGCGAGAGTTGCCTATCACGTTAAGATAAAGGTCCCTGGTAGTACATGTATTATTATTGTATAATATCATAAATATTATTTGATTTTTTTTCTTCCTTTCATGTTAATTTGTATGAAAATTATGTGTATTCTTATCATCATAATTAACGTTAGTTCATTAATTGTTTGACTATCATTTCACTCTCTATTTTGTGACTTGGAATCCGGATGGTTTCGTCCCTGTTACCTGTTCGCGCTGAGTAGTTTCGCGTCGTGTCCCTGTTCCCCCTGAGTGGATTCACCCCGAATAGTTTTCTTCAATCATACAGTGTACTTGATGTTTATTGAAGCAAAAGTTGGATCACTGAGTGTTTAGATTAACATAATTATTAAGCACTTTAATTAAATTTAATTATGAGTTGTCTATTATAAAACTAAATGGTTATTTCAGATATTAACGACAGATGATATGAACTTTTCTTTAAAAAAATCACGAACAGGGGAATAAAAAACTTCATCTGTGTTAAAAAATGTAAAATATATACATTTAGTTTAATCGTTTCAATTTTATTCCAACAATCTCCATCTTTTTCTCAAATTTTGATCTACGTAGATTTACTTTTATTATTTAAAACATAATCAAATACATGTAGGTGTACCGTATAGATCCGTTTAGATACAATAATTACCTTTCCCATAGAAACACGCAAAAACCATAGAACTTTGGAGATTTGTCAAAGCAAACTGCCAATATACACACCTGGAAAATTTTGACACCTTTAATTACAGGTCAGGGGTATAATTGGGGCGAAACCACTTGGAGTGTACATGTGATCTGGGCGAACCCGCCTGTTACTGATACTTGTGCCTTTGTATGCCTTCTGGGCCCAAAAATGGAATAAATATGTTGCTAACTTACTTTCTTCTGAGGCTTAAAGGATAAGAATTTACAGACTTCAATTCACAACTGCTTCTATGGTTGCATACACTAAACGTAGAAAATAATTGATCTTGATTTTAAAGTCAAAGGACAAGATAATAAAGTTATACATTCTGTCTCTGTGTAACACTTTCTAGGTAATACCTTAAAAAATTTTCTTTATTTTTAGGGAAAAGGGGGGGGGGGAACTTTTTAAATTTTTCTTCTGAAGAACAGCAGGGTGAAGGTGATGGACATTGTGGTTCATGGGCCTATCTTACTTTTTCCCCCAACCACTGTCTTGTACACACAACAAACTTATTCTTTACTTTATATAATTGGCTTTTCCTATGAGTTTTGAGATGTCCACTTTTATTTGAAGTGGTGATTACCAGAGATGTATGTCAATTACCTGACAGTACTGTTAGGGGTTGGGGAATGGGTCATAGGCTTCATGCATAGGTGTCGGAACCGGGGGGGAGGAGGGGGCTTGGGGGGGTTTAGCCCCCCCACTTTTTTTGCAAAGATAGACATAATATAGGCATTGAAAATTGGGCTTATCTTTTTTTCGTTGGTTTAGCCCCCCACTTTCAATTAGCCACCCCACTTTCAATTTGCTTCCGACGCCTATGTCATGTACAGTAAATATTGGAGGAGAGGTAGAATCAGATGTAGTGTGATGGTTTTTTAAGGGTCTACAGCAGGCTAAAATAAGGCCCCATTCCCACTGCAAGAAGGCAGGTATTTTCCCCAGTTTTTGCTTTAAAATTCCCAAACAATGAAAAAATTCAAAGCAGGGTAGCTTTATTGTTCATAGTTCTCAAAAAATGTCCCACAGATTAAAATTATTACCTCAAAATTGTTGAATAAACCTAATTTTTTAGCCTTTGTTTATTTAAATAAGGTAAGTCTGGGCCAAATTGAAAGTAGAAGGAGTTAATGCACTGGTTTGGGTCCCCTTACTTTTCTTGTATGAAATGTTTTTCCCAATTAAATGTTTTTCAATAAAATGTCACTATTTTTTCCCAATTTGAAAGGCCCACACCTTTGATATCAAGACCTAAAAAAAACCCCCATGGTCATGTATCTAGGAAGATTTAGCGATGTTATTCCATATTCTTGCAGATAGTTGTGATTGAGGGCAGCAATAGACTGGGAGGGTGGATTCAGACGCAGCACCTCGAGGATGGTACAGTACTGGAAGGGGGACCAAGAAGTTTCCGCAGTGGAGGAAAAGCAGAGGCAACCACATTAGAACTAGTAAATTATACAACTTTGTAGATGATATTGACTTTTAATGTAGCACAATTAAAGTTCTCATTTAATTAATGATTCAATTCTAATTATACTTGAAAAGCTTGTGTAGGTGTCATTATTTGTGATGTTGTTTTCTTAGGTGGATATGCTGGGTCTGAAAGATGAAATTGTAACTGTGTCAAAGGAGAAAATGAGGAGAAGGCTTTTTATCAATGGAAAACTAAAGGAATTTCCACAAGGTGCTTATGGTCCTCATGACATTACCAATCCATGATCATGTTCATGCTATACATTATTAACTTTTAATCTCATTTAACTCCAAACTAGTTTGAACCATTTTTAAAGCAACCTGTAGGAAAAATTTTTTCTTCCATCAGTCATTATGGAAATGGAAGTTCATCTGAATCAAATCCAATACATGTACTATACATTTATTGACTGGGTTTGAGGGTATTGTGTGTCTTGTTGGACCCAAGAACCAAACTGTTGCCCGAGGCTGTCAGGCTGATGGTAAGTAGTTTGGTTCAATGGTTCTGCAAAACACATTTTGCCCAAAAATACAGTTTATAAATGTTTTGTTACACCTTTTACTATTTAATTTGACTTATCTTGTGCTGGCCTCCATATTTGTGATACTTTGATGTAAATTTCATTAATCCGCATTGCAAATTCAACTCAACCAATTCCATAACTGTTGAATACCAAGGAATGTTAGGAAGTTATTGCTGATTGAAATTGTTGAAGTCAAGGCTTTAAGTTGATGGGTACATTAAGGGGTTTCTTTGATATGCAAATTTATTCTGTCAGGAAGAGCAGGTGACTCAGGTGAAATTTCTGGCCTATGGGCCTTTTATTTTGCATTCCACAGTACAATAAATCATGCAGATGTGTTTAGCAGGAGTGAACTTATTCAATTAGTATTTAGAGTAAAACACACTTAAAGCGAACACATTTATAATAAATTGATGCTTATAGCAAAGTGATTATTATATTGTGAAGCTAATGGATATAATGAAGTACGTTTATAACGAAGCAAAATGGTCCATCCCTAGCACTTTACTATAAGCATGTTTTACTGTACACCTTTGTGATTCTAAGGCTCCATAAAATGCTTAAAATAATCTTTTTCTGCATAATTAGCAATTCTTTTTGTTGAAGATAAGTTGTGTCTGTATCCCTGTTTCTTGTCTTCAATCTTAACCTAGTTCTTAAGTCTAGTGTTTAACAACATAAAAACTTTATAATAGCTTATGCAAAATAGGTATGCCATGACTTTGAATCAAGGTCATTTGAACAAAATCAAAATCATTCTTGTTGGTTCATAACTGTTACAGAGAAACATTAGGAATTCACATTTGGCACAAGAGTAGCCTATCATCAGAGGGTTTGTCATGACTGTAATCCAAGGTCAGGCTAAATTAAGGATATTTTCAATAGGCATCTAGATTTTACAATCACATGTTGTATAAACATGAAAGTTGATTTTAAAGGTATCTACCACTAAGCTGCTAGGTAGGCCCTGTTCATTTGAGGTAAATGCCATCCCCATCTTTATTTACATGCTTTATTTTGATATTTTCAGAGTTTGATAAATGGAATCTTACCAAGTCTGTCCTAAAGGGAATTTTTAAAGACAGATGGATTTTATCTCCGATGGAGGATGAGTCAGTCCAGTCTTTCCTGTCAAAAAGATTTGGGAGTAACCCAGAGGTGACTTTTTTTCTTTTATTGTGAAAACAAAGCCTCAAGTTTACAAACAGAGAAAATTGTTGTTTTAGAGAATGAAGAAATAGCATTGATTGCCTCTAGGGATGGAATCACTTTGCAACATAGTATGTTGTTGTTGTTTTTTTTTTTACTACCCATTGATTTTAGTCATCAACTGTACTTGAAGTATTTAGTGAACTATTATTTTACTTCACTGCATAAAAGATATAATTACTTTGAAATAAAAAAATAATTTATTCTGAGACAAAGCTTTACCTTTAAAATTTAATTTAGTAAGTAAACCCAGGTTTAAGTGTAAAAAATAATGTTTCTAAAAAAAAAAGCCAGAAGAGATGGTTCCTTTTAGTAGACCATAGCTATGGTAATATTTAAGTTTAAGCTTAATATTACCTCTTAAACTGACAGATAATGGCATTTGCTGATTCAATGTTTCGAGGAATATTTGCAAGTAGTATTGCTGATATTAGCTACAAGTTCTCGCTTTTTGGAAAATCAGGATGCAGTTCTTTAATACAACTTCAACATCAAATGAAACAGACCAGGGAAGGTAGGTGTATGTTTTTTAGCTCACCTGAGCTGAAAGCTCAAGTAGTTTTTCTGATCACCCTTGTCCAGCGTCTGTCCGTCCATCTGTAAACTTTTTTACATTTTCACCTTCTTGTCAAGAACTGAATTTTAACCAAAGTTGCAGTATTGAGTAAAGGGTATTCTAAATTGTTAAAATGAAGGATGAAGGGACAAGTGCCCCCCCTTTCCAAGGGGAGATAATCAAGAAAAGACAAAAATATGGTGGGGTCTTTAGAAAATTTTCTTCTCAAGAACCACCAGGCCAGAAAAGTTTGAACCTAATATGTGGAAGCTTCCTGAGGTAGTGTAGATTTTAAATTTACAGATGATGGCCCCAGGGGTTAGAGTGGGGCCACAATAGGGAATCAAAGTTTTATGTTTAAATATATTGTAAAAATCTTTAAAAGTCTTCTTCTCAAGAATCACTGTGCCAGATAAGTTTAATCTTATGTGGAAGCTCCCTTAGGTAGTGTGGATTTTAAGTACAAATCATGGCCTTGGGGCTAGAGTGGGGCCACAATAGGGAATGAAAGTTTTACATTAAAATATATAGTAAAAATCTTTAAAAATTTTCTTCTCAAGAACCACTGGACCAGAAAAGTTTAAACTTACATGGAAGCTAGGGTTCTAAGGTAGTGTTGATTATGAGTAATTGTTCTATCATGGACCAGGAGGATAAAGTGGGACAACAATAGGGACGCAAAGTTTTAATTGATTAGATATATATAGGAAAACTCTTGCCTGGGGTTAGGATGTCAAAGTTTTATGTAGACATATATAGGAAAAATCTTCAAAAATCAACTTATCAAGAATAGCAGAGCCATGATTAGACATATTGATATGGAAGCATCCTCAGGTAGTTTGGATTCAAGGTTGTTCAAATCATGACCCTTGGGTAAAGAGCGGAACCACAATAGGAGATCAATGTTACTCAGGCAACCTATTGCTCTCTTTTTTTGTCCATCGTCGTGTATTGTGGGTCATTCATCGGTCAAAAACTATTGAACATTTTCGGCTTCTTCTATTGAGCAACTGAACCAGTTTCAACCAATTTTGGCATATGAAATCTATGGTGAAGGGAAGTAAAAATTGTGAATTTTATGGTCTCTGCCCCCCCCCCCCATAGCTTGAGGGATTGGGCTAAAACAATCAAAGTTAGTGCAATCTTTAAATATACTTTTCTTTACTCCTGGACATCAAACAGTCAAATCGTTGGCATGACTAATAAGCATTGAGATCTCTACAAAAATCTGTAATTCATAGCCCCAGGATCAGGGGTTCTGGAGTTTATAGAGTGGGGCTCTATTGATCATATAGTGAAAATACATAAATTCTTTAGAAAATATCTGTCTTCCCCTTGTATATTTAGCAGACAGGCTAAGTGCTTGATAAACAAAAGCGTCTCTTCAAAAATTATGAAATACTTAGTCCCTGGGTCAGGGGTTCTGGTATTATGATGGGGCTCTATTAATCATATAGTGAAAAAAAAATTCTACTCTGCTCTTGGGTATTTAGCAGATGAACTAAGTGCATGATTTTGATCTTCCAGAAGTTTGGATTTCATGGCCCCTGGGACAGGGGTTCTGGTGTCAGGACGGGGCTCTATTCATTGTTTCTTTGAAAATTTTCCTCTCTGCTCTTGGACATCTAGGAGGCAAATATAGTGCAATTTAAGTTGTAATGAGCAAGGCTGTTTTTACAAGTCTGAGATTTGTGAAATTCTGGACCACCGGGTTAAGTGTTTTGATGCTGGGCAGGGCTCTATTGATCTTGTAGGGAATGTTGCACTCTACCGAGAGAGATTTTTCCCCTTTGCTATTCACCAATGATAATTAATTTCTGTAAATTATGTAATTGATAGGTTAATTGAATAAAAGAATTATACAAGAATTTTTATAATTTAATACAAAAAGTACTTTCATAGGTTTCAATGATCAAGTAGACTTGAAAATACATGTAATAGATGAATAAAAATGCAAAAATATAGTATCTTATACATTAAATGTTCTTCAAAGATCTAGAGAGGCTATTGTTGGAGGGAAGTTGATGGGTTTACCATATATGTTGTAGTACTTGTGTGGTGTTCAGCCTGCATGGTGATAGTGACAAATGGCAGTGTTCTAGTACTGGCAAGTACAAGCAAGTAAATAGATCTACTTGAATATAAACTGTTACTGAGTACCTTTACTAGATTTATTATTTGTTGATTCATGATGGATAAATTAGGTCCTAATACTGTATGGGTTGGATACCTTAAGTGCTTTGAGGAATTGGAGTGCAGTTTAAAACTGAGCTTTCAGGGGTTCAATTATTTCATTCAGGCTATCTATTTTACATCGTTGGATTTGTAATAAATTAAAATTTTTCAAATCTTTCATCATAAAACAGATCAAAAAATATCTGTGAAGAAAGTATAAGGTCGAGGCCACAAAAGGATATATAAGTTTTCCAAAGGAATATGTAGAAAAAAAATCTTCTTCACAAGAACAACAAATTAAGTCACGATTAGTCATATTGATATGGAAGCATCTTTAGATAGTGTAGATTCAAGTTTGTTCAAATCATGACCCTGGGGAGTAGGGTAGGGCTACATTGGGGATCAAAGTTTTACAGAGGAATATGTAGGAATTTTATAAAAAAAAAATCATCTCAAGAACAGCAAAGCCATTATTAGTCATTTTGATATGGAAGCATCCTAGGTAGTGAAGATTCAAGATTGTTCAAATCATGACCCTCAGGGGTAGGATGGGGGCCATATTTGGGCATCAAAGTTTTATATAGAAACATATAGCAAGAAATCTTTAAAAATTTTCTCCTCAAGAACAATAGAGCCATGATTAATCATATTGATATGGAAGCTTCCTCAGGTAGTGTATATTCAAAATTGTTCAAATCATGACACCTGGGGGAAGGGTGGGGCCATAATGGGCAATCAAAATTTACATAGGAATCTATAGGGAAAAAAAAATTCAAAATATTTTTCCTAGAGAACAGCAAAGGCATGATTAATTATATTGATATGTAAGCATCCTCAGGTAGTGTAGATTCAAGTTTGTTCAAATCATGACCCTCAGGGGTAGGGTGGAGCCACATCTTCCTCTCAAGATTCAGTTCAATTTATTGATTCAACAATCTGAAACATGTTGGCATACAATCATGTTACGTACAGAATGAAAAGTACAATGTGTTATCAGATTACTAAAACATACCTAAGTACATACATAAGTATACAATTCAGTGAAGTCAACCACGTTTACAACTTTAAGTTTATACATAATCATTTGGCAACCAGTATAATATGAACAGAGATGAATTGATTATATAATGTATTAAATAAGTTAAGAACACAATTCAAAGCATACAAGAACAGTGAAGCCATGATTATTCATACAAATAAGAAAGCATTCTCAGATAGTTTAGATTCAAGTTTGTTCAAATCATGACACCTGGGGATAGGGTGGGGTCACAACAGGGAATCATATTTTTACCTATGAATATATAGGGGGAAAAATCTGCTGATAAAGAACAGTTGAGCCATATTGACTCATTGTGGCCCATGGGCCTCCTATTCTTGACCTCCTGACCTATACCATTGCTTATTTGTCTTAAATCTAGAATCTGATGGCATTTATAAGATATTCTAATTTTTTTTCTGAAGATTCTTTTAATTTGCTTGCATGCAGTCCTTTAAAAAAGTTTCAGAATGATTTTATTCTTGTAGTATTCTTGTAGTGAATTAATGATGAATTGTAACCAGGGGTTGTAGAAAAAGTGCATATACAAACCATGTTTGTAGTTGAATTGTATTAAAGCAAAATATGAAAAAAAAATGGTGTGTAAAAAAAAAAAAAAAACAATAAATGAAACAAAGCAAAATATATGAGTAAGTCACAAAATTGGAAATATAGTGTAATTAATACTAGGGATGGCAATCGAATACAGAATTGCTAATTGGTTAACCGCAAGACGTTCTGACTGATTAACCGGTTAATTGTATCAAAATACACATTTTCTCAACATTTTTTTTTCTTTATTCACATACACAAGAAGACTAAAAAGGAGGTTAGACGTTATAACATTCTAAACATTCTGTTTATCTTGAACAGGAAACCTTATGTACATAATTATATTTTATTTCAATTTCAATAGACAAGAAAAAAATTAAGAAAACCATAAAACATGCCTGAGAAATCCGACATGAAGACGACTAAAATGGAAGTTATACGTTATAAACTTTCTGTTTATCTTGATCAGGAAACCTTATGTACATAATTATATTTTATTTCAATTTCAATAAACAAGAAAAAAATTAAGAAAGTCATGAAACGTACCTGAGAAATTAGACATTTATAATTTTCCAGATGTCACACAAGTTCATTCTGCATTCTTCCTGTCTATACTATTACAGTTTATGAGAATAAACTGTTGTCTTGTCTTGCTTTGTCACCATAAGCAAGACTAAGTTTGAACTTTCACTTAATTAACAATGCTTGTCTAAAGCTATATAGACATAAAATATTGTTTATTTAGAACTGGGAATACAAAATTACCTATTGAGTTGGTAGATGGTATGTTTAACATCCCTAGAGAAAATAGAATTTATAAATTATAAAAAATTATTTAACTGCAATGAAATTGGTGAAGAATTTCAATACTTATTTAAATGTACTGATGTATCTAGTATTAAGAACTCAAGAGTTATGTATTTGTCAAAATATTTTCAATCAAATCCAAATGTTTTGAAATTTGAAATGCTTTTTAATGTAAAAAATATTAATCAACATAGCAAAATTTGTAAATTGTTAGATATTATAATTGAGAGAGTTGGCTCTCTTGGTTGTCACTTCTTCAGACATGTAATATTTTCTGTTCATTATATTGTACATATCTTCTCTTCACTGTTTTGTCAGTTATGAGAATAAAGTTCATGTTCATGTATGATTTAATAGATAATGGCAAAAGATAGATCACAGTGCTCAACTCTGATTTAATTAATTTCATTAAAGAATTACAGGACAGTCAGGGTACCGACAGGTTGTTTAAACAGTAATTAACACCTCACAAACTGACCAATTACCCATGCGATCTCAATCAAGAGAGCCATAATTACCTCCAAATAGATATGTGAAATGCTAAATTATCACTGTTTGTGCAAAAATTTATTTTAAGAAATAAATTTTAAGAAAATTGCATTCAAATTTACAAAATTTTATTTTTTCCGACTAACCGATTACAGATTTTCTAACCGATTAACATCGTTGCAACCGGGTAATTGGTTAACTGGTTACAAATTGCCATCCCTAATAAATACATATATTGTTATATGTATTTTATCTAAAAGAGCTGAAGAAACATGATTGTGAGTTGGTACGACGAGCTGCTGAAGAAGCTTGGCAGATATGGAATCTACGGAGGGGGACAGGACAGTTAGTGGAGGGCCTAGCTGATGCATTACTTAAAGACCCCAGGGTGGAGATCAAGATGGACACACCCTGTCAATCCATGGAACTGGACTCCACTTCAGCCACTGTAGGACTATTTTTACCTTCACTCTCTAAAGATTGAGTATATCATTGTTATCCCAATCAGTCTGTCTGTTGATCTGTCCATCACACTTTCTTGTCACTGTGTCTCCTATATGTTAAGAGGTTGCCAGAATTTCTATTTGTTTATGGCTCTTTGAAGGTTTTGAAGTTCTGATTTTGGCCAAAAGAGTTCCTGAGGGCTTAAAAGACTTGCTTGGAAATCCTTGTTACTTTTCAAGTGGAAGCAAAAAAATGTTTTTTGCATGTGATAAGCCAATACATGTACATGTAGATATACAATTAGGTTTCAGAATTTAAATCTCTGCCCCTAGGCTCTCTGTGGGTACAGAAGGGTGTGGTTAGTTTAAAAATTTGTCATAATATTTTTTTACATACAGTAAAACATGCTTATGTGCCAGGGATGACAAATTTTGATTTGTTATATTGGTTAAGTTCATAATGTATTTTAAAACCACAGGAAATGAAAACCACTTCATTATAAGCGTGAATTCATTAGAAACATGTTCACTCTAACCGTGTTTTACTGTATTTGGTTTTAAGAATTTGTTTTAAGAAGCTGTTCTGGAAAAGTGATGCTAAGGTTGAAGATATCCACTGCTGCCATTTATGTTGTGTTAAGTTGTCTGAAGCTGTAAAATGTACTTAAAATATACCATTGCATTTCGAGTTAGGCTTTGGATTAAATTCGTAAACTACTGGTATATATATAAATACAGTCAATAAGCAAAGAGAGTTCTAACAACTAATATTACTGGTAATTAATGCTTTCTTTTTGATGTCACAAGACTAACTTGATCACTTGACAGACTTTTAATTTTTCCTTAAGGTTGCACAAAAATTGTTTTGGCACAAATGTTTGTATTTTTGTTGCATATTACAAATAATATCCCAATGTATCTGAATCTGAAGAGGGCTGGGGGCAAGATCAAGTTATACGTGTATATACTAAATATTTCATGAGAATTTCAACTACACCACAAATTTCAGGGTATTTTCCACTCTGCATTGTAATTCATTCACAAGAAGTGAGAAAACATACCATCCCCCAGCAAGCTTCAGTTAGTTTTTACATGCATAATGAAATAGATGTTAAGGTTATGACACTCTCCTGATCATGTCAGTGCAGTGATGTGACATTCCATTATGACATCATATCTACATGTAGTAGTGTCAGTGAAGTCACTTCAGAGAGTGCATCACTCTCTACCATCGGCTCATACATTCACCTCTGTCATTGGCTCGTGTATATGACAGTGATAAGCACGAGAAATAGCGTGTTTCTTTTAATTCATTATAATTAAATGTCTGAGCTAATGATAGTCCTTAAAGATAGATATTTACTTAATAGATCTAAAACTATTAGTTTAATTTGAAATAATCCTTGAAATGTTACGTTTTTTATTTTATGTTAAAAATCTTGATGCGAGCCCATTGCAGAGGTGTCTGAGAGAGGAACAAACAACTCTGCATACGAGATTGAGAGTGCATGCTATATTTTATGGTAAACTTAACCTTCCTGTGTAAGGTTTTGGATGCTGCAGTTAAGTGACATAGATTTTCTAAATGAGTGAACAGGTTAATTTCTTATAGAGGGTTATTTCTTATTTTAACAAGATGTGTTTGTAAAACACTGATGCCCCCGTATGGCAACTTATAGTGAAGGTTAAACTTTCTCAAATGCAAATCAAAAATGCTGGTACCCAAAGTAAGGTCTTGTACCTATGAATATACCTGTGAAATATGAAAGCCCTAGCAGCAACCATTGAAAAAATATGGAAAAGGTTAAAGTTTTTCAAAAGCAAGTCAAACATCAAGGTCAAGGTCAAATGGTCAAAATTAATGGTGCCCAAGGAAAGGCCTTCTCACAAGAAATACACATGTGAAACCTGAAAGCCCTAGCACCAACTGTTCAAAAGATATGGCCAAGGTTTAAGTTTTTCAAAAGTAGGTCAAACTTCAAGGTCACAGTCAAAGGGTCAAAGTTGTTGGTATCAAAAGTAAGGTCTTGTCACAAGGATTACATATGAGAAGTATGAAAGCCCTAACACCAACTGTTCAAAAGAAATGGCCAAGGTTAAAGTTCGGTAAAATTTTGTAAAACTGGGTCAAACTCCAAGGTCAAGGTCAAATATGATGGTACCCAAAAAAAGGTCTTGTCAAAAGGAATATACATGTGAAATATGAAAGCCATAGCTCCAACCAATCAAAAGTTATGAACAATGTTAAAGTTTTTGCGGACAAACAGACAAACAGACAGACAAATGGATGGACAAGGCAAAAACTATATACCCCTGAATCTTTGATATGGGGGCATAAAAAAAAATTCAAAAGGAACAGGATGACACTATAAATTCATATTGATATGCTTACATTTCCACATAGTCATGTATGTTCAAATTATGGCCACAGGGGTAGGGGCAAGGCTAAAATCAGGAATCAAATTTTACATAATGAATGTAAATAAGTAAAACATTTAAAAAATATCCACCAGACTGGCAAGGCTATATAATAGGAAAGGAGAAAATGTATGGCTGGACCGGGAATCGAACCCGGGACCCCTGCTTCACTATTCAGGTGCTCTACCGACTGAGCTACCCAGGCCGATATCCACGGCCCAAACCATTACATTCCTCCCTCCTTAAATTGTGTTCGCCCTCGAAGACACAGCCCAAGTTCTTATTTGTCCCAGGCAGGACTTTCACCTTCAAGTCCAGGGGTGGTCAACAGCACTAAGTCTGTAACAGGAAAGGAGAAAATGTATGGCTGGACCGGGAATCGAACCCGGGACCCCTGCATCACTTGTCAGGTTCTCTACCGACTGAGCTACCCAGGCCGATATCCATGGCCTAAACCATTACAGCCGTATAAGTTGTATGATACAGTAATAAACGGTTACTTGAACATCCTTAATATAATGAATTCAAACTAACAAAGTGATTTTCATTCCCTGTAGTTTAAAAACTCATTATAACTCTTATTTGATATAACAAATTATTTTTAAAATGAATCAAAAGTGTTTCTCCCTGGCACTTCACTGTAAACCCTGTTTTACTCTATTCAGAATATATATATATAAAACATATGAATATATGTATGCATAAATAACAGTGACCTCTGGTTTAGGATCTTCACTGGCAAATGGTTTCTGATCCGCTACTCTCCTCATAAACCCTTGGCCTATGCTATGGTGCTGTCAAAAGTCGGGATTGTTAATGTCTCATGATCTTGCGCACAGATAGCATCATCAACAGATATATGTATAAAAAGGGTATTTAAAAATAAAAGTATTTGAAGAATAATTAACAAGTATCGAGTAATGTTTATTTGTTATGTAAGGTGCAAATCTATGTCTGCAATATAGATTCCTGATCACATCATGTGCACATCTGCTTAAAGTTATATGACACCATAGCTATTTAATTTATAGAATGGCATGTTATCTTATGGAATGTTGTTTGCTTGCTTTTTCATTCCCGAGTCTAAAGAGTCAAGATACACCCTGAACAAATATATTGTCAATTGTCATTTACAAAAGCATTTGTTAATTGGTCGAACAATATCAATTGATCAGGCCCATCAAAATCTGCCAGTACCCAATACTTTTATTTGAATAAAATCATGATTGTACTGGCCAAAATATTTGTTGGAGACATATTTACATATTTAAATAATACATATTTAATTAAAATCCCTTCCACAAGCTTAAGTAACATGTACCTCCTATTTTTCTAAAAGGACTGCCTGTTTCTAATCTTTTTGAAAGCCCTGATTGACTCAATTACAACTCGAGAAAAAATCCTGACTTCTGGTAGCACCATAGGTCAAGGTTTATGAGGAGAGTAGCAGATCAGAAACCCAAGTGAAGATGCTGCTTTAGCTCTGTACCATTAGTTATGTAGGATTATGTGGTTATAATACCATAGTATTTTATACTATAGCATGTAAATTGATGTTGCATTTGTCTTTGTGCCATCTAAAATTATTGAGTCCTTTTTTCTGTAGTTACAGAGTAGGGATAGTGAAATAGTTAAGGCAGATCATGTGGTCAGTACAGTGCTTTCCAAAAGTAAGTTTAACAATTCTTTATTGTACCAGGGATCGACATTAACGGTTGCCCGGGACAAGTAAATTCTCAGTTCAGGCAAGTGAAACTGTTGACGTACTTGTCCGATCTGCAAATGAATTTTTCTCATAGAAATGTACATATTTATTAAGTTTACTTTAATTTGTAATAAAACAATAAATCAAACATGATTTCCACCACGTACCTGACTGACAATGGTTTTGCTTTCGGAATTCCTTGATAGCATTTCTGGATAATACTGCTCATTTCAAAATCGGGCTCGTTATTGTTTTCTTTCATAGTAAATACACTCTACATCTAACAACTTTGTTAACTTCTTATTAGGAAATTAGATTATATATTCACTCACAGAATATAAGAGGAGTGTAATACGATGTATCCTGATCAAGATAAGATGTATGTTTCATAGCAACTATCTTCCTGTAGCTTCACATTTCACATCGGAAAATCATGATTAACAAAAGGATCCTACCGAAAATAATTTTAAAAATATGAATTTTATTAAAAGGAAATGGGGGGGGGGGGTATTGCTGCATGGCAGTGTGTGTTAACAGGTTATAGTTACAAGGACAGTGGTATACATTTATGTACAAATGCAGCATTGAAATTTTTTCAGGTAGCTCAAATTGCCAAATTGACAGTGTATTTTGTCACATTCCTTCTTATCATAACATTTACAGTAATAAATAATTTTCTTCTTAAGTTTTTTCTTAATTTTGGGCAACCAAGTTCAACCAAGTTCTGTATTTGGACAAGTCAAAGTTTGAGATCACTTGCCTGAAGGGCAAGTAAATCAGAAAGTTTATGTCTATCCCTGTGTACTCATAGTTAATATCTTTTAGTGATACTCTAAAACAAGAATAGTTGAGGCACAGTATTTATTTTAGCACCTATGGTGAAACAACATCTGTGCAATTAAAAGTAATGTGACCTATTTTTTTTATGTCAACCATAAATATGGCCAGCTAGGCATATAGTGTTTGTCATGTCTGTCTTCCATCCTTTGTTCTTTCATCATTCTGTCTGTCCATCACACCAGCTCTGTTTAAAAGAAACTGTTCCAAGATATTTTTATCAAAATTCATACAATTGAATCATAATCTTCCTACATTATGGCATATTACATGTATATAAAAAATCTCAAAAACTACTGAACCAGAAAAGTGAAAGCATTTCTAGGTAGTGGAGATTCAAGTTTGTTCAGATCATGACCATGGGGTAGGATGGTGCCACAGTAGGAGATGAAATTTTTACATAGGTATATATAAGAAAACAATATTTAAAAGTTTCTTCTGAAGAACAGCAGGACCATGAAAAGGTCATGATAATGTGCAAGCATCCTCTGGTAGTGGAGATTCAGATTTGTTTAATTCGTGGCCCCCAGAGGTGGAGTGGGGCCGCAATAGGGGATCAAAGTTTTACATAGGAATAAATACAGAGGAAAAATCTGTAGGGAAAAAAAATGTCTTCTCAAGAACAGCAGGGTCATAATTAGTCATATTATTGTGCAGTATTATTGGATAGTAGAGTTTGAAGTTAATTCAATTCATGGTCCAAGGGATGGGGCCACAATAGAACATAAAAATATTTTACAAACTAAGGAATATATAAGAAAATCTGTAAAAGAATAGCAGGACCATGATTAGTCATATTTATATGCAAACATCCTCAGGTAGTGGAGATTTATATAAGTTTGTTCAAATCTTGGCCCCAGGTGGTACGGTGGGGCCACAATAGGAAATCAAAAGTTTTACATAGAAATATATATAGAGTTAAACCTCATTATTTTAAACTCAATTGAACAAAGAAAAAACTTCAAGATATCCCAGGATTCGAAGATATGAAGGGTAAATACTTAAAGAATAAGTGGTTGGGACTTCCAAATCACTAAGACATACCCACGGTATTTGAGATACCAGTGTTCAAGATACTGAAGTTCAAAACTGTATACCGGTATATATATATATATATATATATATATATATATATATATATATATATATATAAAGCACTAAAAATGACCAACGACACGAACAATAATAATTGTCAAATTTTCGGGACGACCTGTCCCTTCCTCAGGACAAAGAAAAAAGTTAAGAAGTCATAAAAACAAAAGAAATAGAGAAGCAAAAACAACTAGCACTACTACTAAACACTAAATATTTACAATGTTACATGTTTAATTTGGAGTTTATAAACAGTTGTGAACAAAGAAATCCGGAGCGCTATGAATTGCGTCCAGTCTATCGGGTGTACTCTGGTGAAGTGTGATTTACATAATTGAACGAATTAATTATCGCTAATTAATTACAACCAACAGTAAATCGTACATTGTCTTATTCTCTCAAAATAGCGTAACTCTACATGATAAAAAGAAATTAAAGAAAGATAATATGGAAGGACAATTTTGAAATATGAATTTGGATATATTATAAATTTGGAAACCGGAAAAAAGAAATAAACAAAAATGTAAGCTGTAAATATTTGGGTAGGTTGTTCCAGGATTGCTAATACGAATTAACGGTAAAGTTTACACTATATATAGAGAGAATGAACTTGTTTGTTACAATCTGGGATTGGGTCTAGTTCACGTTCATCCTGGTGAAGTCATTAAGTTTGTTAATACCATTAGGGCGGAATGACTTCAGCCTGTGCATCCAGAACTTTTCCTTGCCTTTTCTCTGCGCGTCTGTCTATCTTGGATTATGGTCAGTAACCACTACTGTCATGTCCTCCCATTTGTGACCTTCAAGGTTGAAATGTTCCCCAATGGGTTCATTGAGTTTTTTGGTCCTAATGGTAGAACGGTGATTATTGACTCTCCTGCGGAGATCTCCTGTTTCACCAACATACTGTTTGGAGCAAACTTTGCAACTAATGAGATAAATGCAGTTGTCTGTTTGACAGGACAAATTCCCTAGTATTTTGTAGCTGCGGCCTGTAACGGGGCTGTTAAAACTGTCTGTGTCAGAGCTGTACTTACAGAGAAGACATCTTCTGTCAGAGCAAGTTTTAAAGCCCCCGTTAGGTAATGGATTGTCCAATCTGGTTCTTACTACCATGTCCTTTAGGTTCCTCGGGCGTCTGTATGCAGCCAATGGGGGCTCCTTAAAGACCTCTGCCATTCATTTACTTGAGTGGAGAATTGGCAGATTCTTTTGAAGGATACCGCTGAGGTTCTTAAGGACGGGATGGTATGTGGTTACCAGAGGGACCCTGCCGCTATTGTCTTTTTCCTTGTAGCGTAATAGGTTTTGCCTGTCATGTCCCGCCATCTCATCAATAGCAGTTTGTATGGTGCGGGCATTGTAGCCTCTCTTGCATAAGTGGGACTTAAGGAGACCGCTTTGTTCTTGATATAAGGCAGGGGATGAACAGATGCGCCGAATTCTGGTGGCTAGACCCTTAGGCACACTCTTAAATGTGTGTGGGGGATGACAGCTAGTTGGCATAAGATACAGATGGGAATCTGTGGGTTTCGTGTGGAGACTGAACTCGATATGACTTCTTAACTTTTTTCTTTGTCCTGAGGAAGGGACAGGTCGTCCCAAAAATTTGACAATTATTATTGTTCGTGTCGTTGGTCATTTTTAGTGCTTTATATAAATTTCCATCCGTGACCTTGTATCTACTTAGTAGATCCGACACTTAGGATATACAGTGTTGTTGGTTTTTAGTGCTTTTTATATATATACAGGTGACTCTCGATGGCTCGAACTCCGATCTCTCGAAGTTCTCGATCTCTCGAAGTGAACCTCCGGTCCCGTTTTTTTCCTCTATATAACTAAGCAAATTTAATCCTTATCTCTCGAACTCCCGATCTCTCGAAGTTCTCTATCTCTCGAACCAAGACCTGGGTACCGTTACACATATTTCATTGTTTTTTACTCTCTATCTCTCGAAGTTTTGATTGCGCATGTATACACGTCGATCAAGCGTAAAATTAATTCAGCTTTGACTTATCTGGATAACAGTGAACGCCTTGGGCTGGAATGGACGGGTTAATTGGGTGTTTACATAGATGATACTACACGTGTGAGTCGTCCGAGTGTTGAAAAAATTAACTGGTTTAATTGGTAAATTATAAACAAATTGCTTCACAACTTATTTTGACTGGACGAGACGATAATTTTGAGAAAATAATTGAGGGACGTGTCAGTAATTTTCCATAGATTATAAACTTTAATATTATTAGAGTTTACACAATCCCAGTTTGGCAAACATTGCACAAGAAATCCTATCTCAAGAATTGTATACTGATTACGAGCAATCTTGTGAAGGACTGATCAAGCCCGCGCACGGGGGTTAGCAAAAATCAACAATTGCTATTCAGGTTTCATGTAATCATGAAATGAGAACAAATAAATTTTGAAACTTAAGTTAATCATTTCATTTATTCAAATCACGACCATTGCTGTTGAAATCAAGTGAATTACCTGTAAAATACGAATGAAAACGTGTTATGACATTATCAACATATACTTCCTGTATGTATAATAGTAGAACAATGATGATCGGAACTGAAAATTCCGGATTTTATTCACTTTCTATCTCTCGAACCCCCCGATCTCTCGAACCTTGAACTTCGAGAGATCGAGAGTCACCTGTATATATATATATATATATATATATATATATATATATATATATATATATATATATATATATATATATATATATATATATATATATATATATGTATATATATATATAAGGATGAAAAGATGGAAGACAAACATGACAATTAACACTATATGCCCCAGTCATATTCATGGCATATAATTGTCCTGATATCTATATGTAGACCTGGCTTCCATGCTTCCTGCCAAACATGAAGAACTGTGTGATTTTCTCAGCAGGATTCCTACAGTATCAGTTGTCGTTGTTAACATGGTGTATGAGCGTGACTTAGAGGAAGTACCACAGGCATGTGATTCTGTTTAATTTCAGAATAATTAAGGTCTCATTATGAATTAATATTTGGAAGAGTAAGGAATTTCTTGGCCCTTTGTTTTAGCTAGTCTTTCAGAACAATGCAATAGTTCAAATCAGAGTTCTTGAAATGGTTTTCTGAGTATCAGATTTTTACTAATACAATTAACTTATGTCAGTGCAAACCCTATTTTGTCAGACCAGAAAAAAAATTCCATCAGTTTTGAGGCTTATGTTCAACATTAATTATTTGTATTTTTAAATTTTTTATTTTACACTTATATCAAATACATTGTGTATGAAATTCTCATACATGCTAAATTGTACTCTGTGTTTTCTGAAAATATCAGTTTAAATAATCATATTTAAAATTTCATTTTTTTCAATATGGAAAATTATTTTAATTCTTCACCTTTTGTGGCCTCTTTTGTGCTATGAGTTAAAAGCAATATTGGGTTAGAGCAAAGTATTTTTAAAGGTTTTTTTTAACAACAAACACACAATGTTAACTTTTTTGATTTTGATTTTTATGTCAAATGAGGGGACAAGTTTGAACCTTAAATCATCTTGTCTTTTTTAAAGATGATTATTTCATAGTTGTTTAAGATTTCTGTAGCTATTACATCGGTGTGTTAATATGTATACTTTGTATGTATTAAGAATAAAAATAAATATTTTATCCAGTATTTCTAGAAATAGTGTGACCAAAAAGCCATTTAATGTACTTTGTTTAGTATTTAACAAACAAATCCCCAAAATTTATATTTTTTGTTGATTTCTGGAAATTTTTTCAAGAATCTCCATCTGATGTAATTCTGATTTATTTTAGGGATTTGGACACCTACTTCCAACATCAGAAGACCCTCCAATACTGGGGGTAGTGTATGACTCCAGGGTCTTTCCAGACCTAGGTCCCATAAACACAACCCGACTGACTGTAAGTAAAAGAGCATCCTCACATACAGCAGGTCTAAGTTTATACAGACACAGGGTTTAGGTGCATCCTCATATACAGCAGGTCTAAGTTTATACAGATGCAGAGTTTAGGTACATCCTCATATACAGCAGGTCTAAGTTTATGCAGACGCAGGGTTTAGGAGCATCCTCACATACAGCAGATCTAAGTTTATACAGACGCAGGGTTTAGGTGCATGGAGCCACAGTAGCATTTTCAAGATTTTAAAGGAACTTTTAGGAGTCGGGAAAGAATCTGTGAGATGGATTCCACATTTTAAATGATGGTCAATAATGAAAGTGATTAAACATTTTTAGAAAACTATTAAAATTTCTGGAAAAGTGTGATAAAAGAAATCCACATAAAATTGTTACAGAGGATGAAATTTGGTAACATTTTGTTGAAGCTGAGAGAAAAGTGGGAAATAAAATGTGGTCACTAAACAAAGTAACATGGCTAAACGTGGAAAGAAGCAAGGAATGTTCTGTTTGTGATTTTCTTTAATTCTAATGGGATAGTCACTCAGATGCTAATTAGAAAGGGTAGAACTCTAACTTAAGGACATACGCAACGTAGTTTGAACTTTATTGTATTTTTCCCTGGAGTTGAAGAGTTCCAATACTTAAAGGAACTGTGTCCTACATTTTATTTTCAATATATGCTATTGTACACTTCTTCTAAAACAAGTTTGGATAAACAAAACATTTAGAATATATGTTTAGTAATTTTTGTATATTTTTCTTTGAATTATACAAGAATTTTCATCAATTGATATCTTTTCAAAACCCCTGGTAACACATGCTAATTTTTTGTCTACGAACATCTGATGGTACTGTTATCTTAAATTAAGAATATCTCGAAAAATTATCAGTAGGTAAGGTACATTGCGTATGTCCTTAAGTTGTTTATGAAGAAAGACATTGTCTAAGGCAAGTAAGGAGTGAGAGGGATTAAGCTTTTACATAATAATGTACCAGTACACACTACAAAGTACATACAATACTTCCTCCTTGAAAATGGAATATATAAAACAACTGGAATCACCCTTCAGCAGTGAATCATTGTCATACCTCTATCAGAGTAGAGAGGCACACTCCAAAGCTGGATAAAAGACTTCAAAAATGTGTTGAAGTTAAGGGCGATTATTTTAAAGAGATTATAAATAGAAAGGAATGCTAAGTTATTTCTTTCTGTATTGAAAAAGTCTCACAATTGAATGAATGGCACTTGTGTATATTCCAGACTTTATGAACTTGGCTATCATCACTAAACAAAGAGCTCTGTTCATATATATTCCAGTCTTAATTAAACTTCAGTCAAAGCACTAAACAAAATGTTTTAAATCCAATTCTCATATAAAATTTGAATTATCATTTTTATCAGGGTTTAAAAAACCAACATGTTATGCATTCATGTATGTGAAGCAGGAGATCGGGTTCTGCAGTAGGGGCATGGCTTTATTGACCATATTAGTGAAATTGCATCAATTTTCAGCTCACCTGAACTGAAAGCTCAAGTGAGCTTTTCTGATAATATTATGTGTGTGTCCATCTGTCCGCTATCTGTCTGTCTGTAAACTTTTCACTTTTTCGATTTCTTCTCCAGAACCACTGGACCCAATTACAAACAAACTTGCCACAAAGCATCCTTGGGTGAAGGAGATTCAAGTTTATTCAAATGGGGGTGGGGTGGCACAATGAGGGAGCAAAGTTTATCATATGAATATATAGGGGGAAAATCTTGAAAAATCTTCTTAAAAACAACAATGCCATGATTATTCATATTGATTTGGAAGCATCCTCAGATAGTGTAGATTCAGAATGGTTTAAATTATGACCCATGGGGTAGGATGGGGCCCACAATGGGCGCTCAGATTTTTACATAGAAATACATTGGAAAAATCTTCTCAAGAACAGGAAATCCCTGATTGGTCATATTCATATGGAAGCATCCTCAGTTAGTGTAGACTCAGGTTTGTTCAAATGATGACCCCCAGGGGTTAGGGAGTGGCCAACATTTTGGTATCAAATTTTTACATAGGTATACATCGGAAAAATCCTTAAAAATCTTCTTCTCTAGAACAGCAAAGCCATGATTGATCATATTTATATGAAAGCATCATCAGCTAGCTTAGAATCAAGTTTGTTCAAATTATGACCCTCAGGATTGTGTTGGGCTACGATGTACAATCAAAGTTTTACATAAGAATACATAAGAAAATTAATTTAAAAAATTCCTTCTCAAGAACAGCTAAACCATGATTGGTCATATTTTTATGGAAGCATCATTAGGTTTTGTAGAATCAAGTTTGTTCAAATCATGATCCCTACAACTGGGGATCAAATTTACACGGAGTATAAGGGATATATCGGTAAAAATTTTCTTCGCAAGAACAGCAAAGCCATGATTAGTCATATTAATTCAGAAGCATCCTCAGGTGATGTAGATTCAAGTGCATTCAAGTCATGTCCCTGGGGGTAGGTCAAGGCCTCAATAGAAGATCAAATGTCAGAACCACTTTTACATTTAAACTTTTCAATACTGAACTGATTTCTGCTTTTTCCTATCCAATGTGCTTAGGTAAGCAATGAGGCCCATTGGCCTCTTGTTGCAAATCTTCTTCTCTGCTCCTAAGTATTTTCGCAGACAAACTAAGTACATAAATATGACGAGGAAGGGTGCCTCTTCCATAATTGTTAAATTCATGGCCTCTGGATCAGGAATTCTGGAGTTAAGGAGGAATGCCACACCAAAATTTTATTTTGTAGACCTTTGAGACATCCCTGATAAGTAGTGGTTTCAGCATTAAAAGGTCAATATTAGCTCTCAATTATTTAATAAGAATTTTTTTCCTATCTTTCATAGAAAATGAAAAAAAATGTTTTATTTGCTAATAAGATGCTTTAGGGTTAAAAATTTGCTGTTAATAAATGGATAATACGAATGTCTAATAAAATATGATAATAAAAACTGGATAGACATTTTAATTTTTAGGTCACCTGAGTCACTCAGGTGACCTATTGCTATCCGTTTTTGTCCGTCGGCGTGCGTCGTGCGATGTGCGTTAACATTTGAACATTTTTAGCTTCTTCTCTGAAACTGCTCAACCAATTTCAACCAAATTTGGCATATAGCATCTATGGGTGCAGGGGAACAAAAATTATGAATTTCATGATCCCTGCCCCCCTGGGGCCTGAGGGGTGGGGCTAAAACCACCAAAATTAATGCAATCTTTAAAAATCTTCTTCTTTACTCCTGGACATCAAGCAGTCAAACTGTTGGCATGATTGTAATAAGCATTGACCCCTCTACCAAAATTGTGAAATTCATGGCCCCAGGGTCAGGGGTTCTGGTGCTAGGGAGGGGTTATATAGATTATATAGTGAAAGTGCATTATTTCTTTGAAAATCTTCTTCTCTGCTCCTGGGTATTAAATAAACTAACTAAGTATATAGTTATGATGAGTAAGAGTGCCTCTTCCAAAATTGTGAAATTCATGGCCCCAGGGTCAGGGGTTCAGGTGTTACTGCGGGGCTCTATTGATTATATAGTGAAAATTCATTAGTTCTTTGAAAATCTTCTTCTCTGCTCCTGGGTATTAAATACAGTAACTAAGTACATAGTTATGATGAGCAAGAGTGCCTCTTCCAAAATTGTGAATTTCATGGCCCCAGGGGCAGGGGTTCTGGTGTTAGGGCGGGGCTCTATTGATTATGTAGTGAAAATGCATTAGTTCTTTGAAAATCTTCTTCTCTGCTCCTGGGTATTAAATACAGTAACTAAGTACATAGTTATGATGAGCAAGAGTGCCTCTTTCAAAATTGTGAATTTCATGGCCCCAGGGGCAGGGGTTCTGGTGTAAGGGTGGGGCTCTTTTGATTATATAGTGAAAATGTATTACTTCTTTGAAAATCTTCTTCTCTGCTCCTGGGTATTAAATACAGTAACTAAGTACATAGTTATAATAAGCAAAAGTGCTTCTTCCAAAATTGTGAATTTCATGGCCCCAGGGTCAGGGGTTCTGGTGTTAGGGCGGGGCTCTATTGATTATATAGTGAAAATGCATTAATTCATTGAAAATCTTCTTCTCTGCTCCTGGGTATTAAGTACAGTAACTAAGTACATAGTTATGATGAGCAAGAGTGCCTCTTCCAAAATTGTGAATTTCATGGCCCCAGGGGCAGGGGTTCTGGTGTTAGGGCGGGGCTCTATTGATTATATAGTGAAAATGCATTAATTCTTTGAAAATCTTCTTCTCTGCTCCTGGGTATTAAATAAAGTAACTAAGTACATAGTTATGATGAGCAAGAGTGCCTCTTTCAAAATTATGAATTTCATGGCCCCAGGGTCAGGGGTTCTGGTGTTAGGGCAGGGCTCTATTGATTATATAGTGAAAATGCCTTAATTCTTTGAAAATCTACTTCTCTCCTCCTGGGTATTATTAAGACAAATTAAATACATAGTTTTGATAAGCAAGGATGCCTCTTCCAAAATTGTGAAATTCATGGCTCCTGGATCAGGGGTTCTGGTGTTAGAGCGGGGCTCTATTGATTTAATGTGAAAATGTTTTAATTCTTTAAAAATCTTTTTCTCTGCCCCTGGGTATTATTCAAACAAACTAAGTACATTGTTATGATAAGCAATGATGCCTCTTCCAAAATTGTGAAATCCATGGCCCCGGGGACAGGAGTTCTGGTGCTAGGGCGGGGCTATATAGATCCTGTAGTGAAGGTGAATTATTTCTTTGAAAATCTTCTTCTCTGCCTCTGGGTATTGTTTAAACAAACTAAGTACATTGTTATGATAGGCAAGGATGCCTCTTCCAAAACTGTGAATTTTATGACCCCAGATTTAAAGGTGCTTGGACACAGATTTGAAGTTAATATTTTCTCAAATTTTCTGTATAATTTCATGACTTATATGTTGCTATAACATTTCATACTAAAATATAATAAAAATCTTATTTCATCTCGAAGTTATTA